TTTTTACTTCCTTGAAGATTGTGTGGAAGCCTATATAGTTTTATTTTCCTGAGAAACCTTGAATACTCTGTTGTACGTCACCAAGTCCTTTCCTGGATAGACAAGTGTTCTAAGTACCACAGTCTGCTGCCCAGCATCATCTTCTCTGCTAGTGGAACTTTCTTGGGGGCTCCTGACTTCATGTTCTTTCTCCTATAATAGCATTCATGCCCCTACCTGTGTATCCATCACACATTTGTGTGCTCAGTTTTCCTGCAGCATGGAGGTAGGCACTTGCTCAGATCTTCAGAAAAATGACATGGGATTACCTTTTTAATGACATGAGTGGTTTTATGACTTTGTTGCTGGTGGTGGTAGTGGTGGTCCTGGGGGGTTGAATTCAGGGCCTGGGCACTGTCTCTGAGCTCTTTTGCTCAAGGCTAGTGCTCTACCACTTTGAACCACATGACACTTCTGGTTTTCTGGTGGTTAATTGGAGGGAAGAGTATTATGAACTTTCCTGCCTGGGTTGGCTTTGGACCACGACCCTCAGATCTTAGTCTGCTGAGTAGCTACGATTACAGGTGTGAGCCACCATTGCCTAACTCGTTTGTCTATTTTGAGTAGGAAAACCTTTGTAGGTAAAAGCAATGAAGAGAGAGAATGCAGTATATCAGATAAAGGGGCTGAAGATAGAAGGTAGACAATGAGGTCACGCTAGGCTCTTACGGTTTCCTCTGACTCAGCTGCGTACTTTCCTGTAATTCATTTATTCAGGAGTGTTGAATGTCTACTGGAAACATTGCTCACAGGCTATTTACCATCTTTGGCAGCCTTGCCACCTGAGCCTTTAATTTTGAGATAGGTCTAACTTTTCCTGGGCTGGCTTCAAACTTGGGCTCCTCTTGCCTCCACTTAAGTCAAATATGATCTTGTCTCACCTTCACTTGGTTCGAAATAGTCACATCCACAGGCAGCAAAAGTTAGGAAGGTGAACGCGTCTTCAAAGAGACAAAATTCAGTCCACACCACCATCAAATTTCAGAGGTTATGTTTGTGTTTCTTTTCATTTTTAAACCAAATAATCTCACCCTTGGACCTCATCCTTATACATTGAAGAGTTTGAACTAGAAGTTCCCAATGTCCTTCCTGATTTGCAATTGTGTGGAGAGGGCTAAAGTTATAATCATTGTAGTTGGGTGTGAAGGGGGGGGGGCACCTCCCCCTCCGTGTCCCTCTGGTATGGAGAGCTTAGGGTTGCATAGGCAACGCCTAGCAAAGTAATGAAGTAATGTTCACCTGACTTTTCTGTGGCTTGATTATAGGATCTAATTTTGTATACAACAAGAATTCACAAGCCAAATATAGTGATTTAAACCTGTCTTCCCAGGGAGAAATAGGATGGTGAGCTTGAGACCAGCCGAGGCTGTATAATGAGAACCTCCACCCTCCCTCCTTCTCTCTCTCTCTCTCTGTCTCACTTTCTTTCTCCTCCCCTCTTTCTCTTTCTCTTTCTCTCTCCTCCCCCATCTATCTATCTGAAAAGAAAAAAAGGCTGGTCCATTGCTTGGCTGAAATTTGTTGAAGTTTATGAATAGTGGTTTATCTGTGGGAAAAGAAACTTCTTTTGATGATTAAATCTTTAGTCAGCCAGTAAATCCGTTCAAATAAAACATTAACATTTGTTCTGTCCTAGCACTGTGAGTTCTGAGATGGACAGATAAGGAAGTGACATCAAGACTTAGAACTAGAGAGAGATGTGCTCAGGACTGAACGCTCCCCTCCTTTCTCTGGCCTGCTTGCTCCTACACATTCCCACCAGGCCAGCAAGGCATTGCTTTCATGTTTAGCTGGTGACTTTTGTGTCTACGATTTTGTTCTTCCTTTATGTCCTCCCCGCCGCCCACCCCCTTCCCACCCCCACCCCCCCATCCTCACCTCTGCCCCCTGTTAAGTGTCTTAGCTGCTTCTTGATGGGCACATTTGAGCCATGCCTTCAGCCTTTAAAATGTAATGGTGACAATTTGCTGCCACCTACAGGCGATAGTGAAAAAGGCAGAACATGTTATTAACTTTTGCAGATACCAAATATAAAATTGTGGTGGTCCTGAAGCTAGCAGCGGATGAGTCACTGGATACTGGTGGCTCATGCTTGTAATCCTAGCTACTCAGGAAGACAGCATTCCGGTATAGTTATGCAGGTGATTATTGATGTAATTATTAACTATCACTAAGCAGTGAGTGGACAATAGACCCTGTACCAAATGATGTGTAAGTGCACGCCGTGCACGTTCACTATTGTCTCCTTCTCTTCTGTTTGCTATGGGGTGGCAACCCGTTTGCAGTGTGGCTCTTTTTCTGTCTTCCTCCTTTTCTGCCAGTGCTTGAACTGCTGCCTGGCACTGGCTTTTGGAGTGGTGCAGATTAGACTGAGAAAGTTCTTGACTGTGAGCTGGGCATGGCAGAGCAGAAAAGCTCAGGACAGTCCCTTGGCCCTCAACTTAAGCCCTAGGCCAAGTACACACATGCACACACAAAGAAGAAGAAATGACTTGAATTGGATAGGGAATGACTGCAGTGCTATGACTTGACAAAGGAGAGGAAATTGTCACTGCGTGTGCAACAAAATCTGTAGCCAGAGGACACCTTGAAATCCCATATGTGTGGCGTGGGAGCAGATGAGCAGACTAGTGTCAGCAAGGAGACAAGAGGCCCGTATACACTTGCCTTGGATCTGAAGCTTAATAGGGGTCCCCAAAGCTCAGCAATCAGATAAAATTAATGCACACAAACTCTGTGACAAAGAAAACATCAGGAGTTTGGGTAAAGATAAGATCAGCAATTGAGTAGTCCCTGCAGATGTTAGAGTTGTCCCTGTCATGTTAGAACCTGAAGCAAAGGAGAGAGCAATAATGAGCTTTGTTTAAATTAAGTTTTTAAAAATCCATTATGAGTTCTTTGAATTAATTTTGATTTAAAAATTAAAATGTTTTGGTACCTCTTTCTATTTTGCACCCAAAGTTTGAGCTTTATTGGTGGGGAAGGGGGAGGCACAGGTAAAATGGGGAAAGCTGAGGAGCAGCTGCCTTTCTGGTCACCCTCCAGAAATGTAGAGGTTTTCCTGTCACCAGATACAGCGTGAACATCTGTGACATTTCCCTCTAAAAGTAGGGACTCTTCACTTAGGGTCCTTGACTTTGATACAGAGTAAGAACTTCTGGACAAGTCATGATGGTAAGAAAACTTGACAGAGCTTTATTGAATAAGCAATCAAGCATGCATGCAGACAAATGCAAACCGAAAGGCAGTGACACACTAATAGAGTGTGGGTGTTGTAAAGGAGAGACAGAGACACACAGCTTCTTGGCTGTTAGGGGTGTGTGTGTGTGTGTGTGTGTGTGTGTGTGTGTGTGTGTGTGTGTGTGTGTGTGTGTGTGTGTGTGTGTGTGTGTGTGTGTGTGTGTGTGTGTGTGTGTGTGTGTGTGTGTAAGGCAGGGGGCCTGTTGTTACATTTCTGAGTTGCTGGATGTTTTGGGCATTTCTTCCAGGTAAGAGCGCATCCTGCCATAAAACAGATGCTTATCCTTGAGATAAGGAAAGTATCCTATTGCCCATGTTTTAGGTAGGAGATTCTTATATTTGGGGGGAGCATTTCTCTCAGGAAGGCATATATCCTGCCAAACAAATGTAAATTTTGGGGGTGATAAATACATCTCTCAGGAAGGGATGAATCCTCTTGCTTTTCTTTGGAACATAACTGGTGCTTCTATGTTCTAAATACTTATACTTCTGGATTACTTTCACTAGGCCTTATTTTCCTCTATTTACCCTGCCTTATTTTGCCCTCCATGACTTTAGTCCCTTATTCTTAAGGGAAGTAGATGAATGAATGTCTTCTGTATTTGCTGTAAGCTGACCCTACCTCATTTTTTATTTTGCTCATTCCCAGTGGGTTCTGTTCTCTCCTCCATTCCATGTCTGGCCTTAAACTTCTTGTCTCAGCCTCCTGAATGTTATAATACAGCTGTGCACTACCACAGCTATAGTAAATTCTTTTTTATTTTTGTTTATTTAATTTTGTCGGTTGTGCGGTTTGAACTCTGGGCCTCAAGGTGAGTGCTCTACCACTTGAGCCTCAGCGCCACTTCTGGTTTATTGGAGATAAGAGTCTCACCGACTTTTCTGCCTGGGCTGCCTTTGAACTGTGATCCTCACACCTCAGCCTCCTGAGTAGCTAGGATTGATTACAGGTGTGAGCCACCAGTGCCCGCTTTTGAGTTCTTTTTTTTTAAAAAGGATATCTGAATGAGATACAGTTTTAAGCTTCTACACTAACTAGTGGAAGGAAATGGGATAACATGTAGTCTTCAGTTTGTTTCATGAGCTATTATTACAAGTTGATTTGGTCAACACAGGAAGCTGATGATATATGGCTCCCCCAACCTGTGTGCAAGTGTGAAGGGTCTAAAACCTTTTGTTAATTTATGCTGATTGACACATGCAGCTTCCTGCCCCCCCCCCCCCCCCATGTAGAATTCAGTACAGCTTGCTTGCCCACTTGAGCCATATCTCCATCCTGTTTGCTGTGGAATCTTACAGATTTTTCTGCCCAGGCTGATTTTGAACCTAGGTCTCCCAGATCTCAGCTTCATGAGTAGCTGGGATTATAAGCATGAACTACTAGTGCCTACCTTGTGCAGCCATTTAAAGATGTACCTTGACAATCTTCCAATCCCAGCCTCTCTTTGTCATGACTGTGTTGTGATTGAGAATGTGCGCAGATACCATGGGAAGGCTGTACTTTCTAAATTTGTATTTGAGCCAGGTCTAAGTTGGTGATGGTTATTAGTTGGCCCAGAATTTTGTACTATACTGAGAGAGCTAGGTCGTTTGTGGGTACAAAATGGTGATAAGTGGATTTAACTTAATTAACCTTATTCTGGCTGGTCTAAGGGAGCACCCTAAAGGAGAATTTCACTTAGCTATTCAAGCTTTACAGACCTTTTATTTTAATCCTCCAGGTCTGCTGAGGACAGATCCAGTACCTGAGGAAGGGGAGGATGCTGCTGCCACCCTGGGAGCCACTGAGACCTTGTCGGAGGAGGAGCAGGATGAGCTGAGACGAGAACTTGCAAAGGTAAGGGCCATTGCCTTTGCAGCTTCATGGTAGTGACCTTTGTGTTTCCAAAGCCTGTTGTAATAGAGTATGGTCAGTTCCAGGGAAGAGGAAGCAGCAGGATCTTATTTGTCCCATGGGGTCTTGATTAGGGAAGAGGAGAGTGAGGAGGGAGCATGTTGTTTGTTTGTATATGACAAAGCATCTGGAGGTAAAGTGGATCTCTGAGGTAGGGTGGGAAGCAGGAAGTGTCCCAGCAGACTACTGAGTCTCTGGAGGAATCCCATTGGCTGACAGCTAGGATGCTTGCTCTGCAGTCTCATCAATGACTGCTCCAGCCTTATCTGTGTTGTGTATGGATACAAGTCCTTTGCAAGCCTGTGCCTTCCAGTGCCTCCCTTCCCTGTCTTCTTTCCTTCCTTCCAACTTGTGCCTGACTGCCACCTTCCAACTTTCCTAACTCACATCTCATAAACATTAGTCATTTTCAACTACATCCTTTAGTATATTCATACAACATTGTGAAAATCATCTTTTTCAAGTTCCAATTATTTTCTTCACCTCTGACAGAGCTCCTTTTACACTCACTTGGCAGTCTCCCCTTAGACTTCCGTCGCTTAGTTCCTGACAGCAGCTAACTGTCTTTCTGTCTCTGTGGCTTTAACTGATTTCTGGATATTTTATATAAATGGGATCATACAATATGTGGCCTTCTAAATCTGTTGTCATTCATTTATTGTGACATATTTAATGGCCATCCATTATATAAAGCTATGAGTTATTCATTCCTTTTTATAGCTGGATAATACTCCATCGTTATGTGTTTAGCATGTTTTATTTTAGAGTTGATTCATTGATGGGACATGTGGGTTATTTGGACTCTTGACTCTTATAGAAAGTTAGCATAATTTATGTGTTAATTCAATTTTTGTTTTTTTTCAGTTTCAGTACCTAAAAGTAGAATTGCTTCATCATATGGTAATTTCATATTTAACATTTTAAAGGAACTACCAACCTCTTTTCTTTAGCAGTGATGGTGATTTTACATTATCAGAAGCAGTTTCTTCCCATCCTTGCCAGCATGTTTGTTTTTAATTCTAGACATCCTAGTAGGTGACAAGTGTTACCTCTTTGTGTTTTTGTTTGTTGAGCATCTTTTCATGCACTTATTAGGCATTTTTGGATCTTTGGAAAAATGTTTGAGTCCTTTGTCCATTGAAAAAATAGGATTTATTGTTGAACGGTAAGAGTTACAATACATATTTTGGATTTTGGACCCTTAAGCCTTTTATTTACTATTCTTGCATAATAGTTCTGGCTAAACTGCTAGTAGAATGTCCAGTAGCAGTGGTGACATGAGCACCCGATTTATCATCTTAAGAAAGCTTTCAGCCTTTCAGCAGTTGAGTATAGGAACTCAGTTTTTCAGGATATACTTTCATATTAAGGAAGTTCCTTTCTGTTCCTACTTGGTTTATCATGAAAGTACTGTTTCTGCACCAAATGAAGTGATCCTGTATTTTTTTCTTTCTTTCCCTTAATGTGGCTTATTGCATTGATTTTCATTTGCTGAATCATCCTTGCATTCCTAGGACAAATTCCATTTGCTCATGTTATGTAGTCCTTTTAATACAATGCTTGTTTCAGTCTGATAATTTTTTGTTGAGCTTTCTTGAATTAATATTCCTAAGAAATATGGGCTATTGTTTACCTTCCTCAGAATATCTTTGGCTGTCTTTGGTATCAGGGTAATGCTGACATCTTTTTTTTTTTTCAATTTAAATTTTATTGTAAAGGTGATTTACAGAAGAGTTACAGTTATAAGTCAGGTAGTGAGTACATTTCTTTTTGAACAGTGTTACTCCCTCCCTCATTTTCTCCCACTTTTTCTCCTCCTGTCCCTCCTCCTCTACAAGTTTGTAAAGTTCATTTCCAATATAGTGTCTAGTGAATATCACTATTGAATTGGTTCACCTTTTGTCCCACCATTTCTGTAATTCCTCTTCCCTTTCCCAAATCAGATAAACATATACAAGGTACAAAAATGAAAAACAGTGACATCAGGAAATAAGCCAAAGGGGAGAAAAAGAAAAGAAAAAAGAAATAACTGCAAACAGTTCATTTTAATAAGCATCATGGTAATTTGCATATAGGTATTGAGGTATTGTGGTCCTCTCCTAAGAATATCCTAGATATATTCTAGTTATTGAAAATGAGGGAAACTATGCAGCCTTGTTTCTTTGGATCTGGCTTACTTCATTTAATATAATCTTTTTCCAAGTCTTTGCATTTCCTTACGAATGGGGCAGTGGTATTCTTTGTGACAGAAGCATAGAATCCCATTGTGTATTTACCACATTTTCTTGATCCATTCATCCACTGGGGGCCATCTTGGCTGATTCCATATTTTAGTTATAGTAAATAAGGCTACAGTGAACATGGTTGGCTTTAGTGCAGGCTGGTTTGTGGTCATTTGGGTAAATGCCCAGGAGTAGGCTTGCTGGGTCATAGGGAAGCTCTGTGTTTAGTCTTTTGAGGAACCTACATACTACTTTCCAGATTGGTTGAACAAATTTACATTCTCCCAACAGTGTAGCATTGTTCCCTATTGGCCATATCCCCACCAGTATCTGTTATTATCAGTTTTCTTCATAATGGCCATTCTAACTGGGGTGAAGTAGAATCTCAATATTGTTTTGATTTGCATTTCTTCTTTGGCCAGAGATGTTGAACATTTCTTCATGTGTCTATTGGCTATTCTTATTTTTTTGGAGAAGTCTCTCTTTAAGTCTTTAGCTCACTTATTATTCGATTGTTGTTTCTTTGAGGATTTGTTTTTTGCAGGGTTTAATTTTTTTAGCTCTTAAGTATACTTGAGATATGAGAATGCTGACAACTTGTAATGAGTTAGAGAATGTTCCATCCTCTTACTTTTCTTTAGAAGAGTTTGAGAAGGACTGATGTTGTGGATTTTTAAAAATATTTGGTAGTATTAACCATGGCAGCCATCTGGCTTTAGACTTGGGGAAGTTTTGACTTTCGATTTATCCAGTCTCATTTTCATGTTTATAAGTTAGTTCATATTTTCTTTCTTCTTGGGTTGGTTTTGATAATTTTTATGTCTTGAAGAATTTGTCCATTTAGACAAGATATATAGTTTGTTGGTATATAGACATTCAGAGTGTTGTTTTTTAATATAATTTTTGCTTCTGTTAGGTTAGTATTAATTTGCCATATATAATTATTAATATATTATAAACAAATATATAATGATATATAATGTATATGTAATTATATTTTTAGTGTTAATTTGTTATTTATTAGTATTATTTTAAATATTTTGCATCTTTTTCTCTTGTTAGACTAGTTAGAAAGTTTTCAGTTTTGTTGATATTTCTGAAGAACTGGCATTAAAAAAATTCATTTTCTTTGTTCCCTGTTGTCCATTTTGTTTATCTTCATTCTAATCATTATTTTTTACTCTTTTTTGTCTTTTCTAATTCTGTGTCATATAGGTTAGTGGTTTCAGTTCTCAATTTTTTAACTATTGTGTATTAATTGTATGGAGGTGTTTTGTTGTGATATTTCCATATGTGCATAGAATGTACTTTGATCAAATTTACTATTCTGGCAAGCACAGCTTGTGCTGGATCTACCTTCCAGTTATGCCAGGTAAAAGTTCCATTATAATTGTTGTTTATAACTACTACTACGACGACAACTCTTATTTATTATTGCCACATGGTGCTTGATCTTCTCTCCTTTGTGTACTAGTGTGTTCATTCTGTGTCCTCTAAAGAAATAATTAGCAGTGGACACCATTACCATAACAATTCTGAATGTTGTTGTTAAAGGTCATACTGTCTTTGAGATTACCGAAGTTAAGTGCCTATCAGTGCTGAGAATATGGCTTTGCAGTGTGTGAGTGGAAGTATTTTGTAAGGATATTGTATATCATGAATAGATTTTAGGACTCAATTTTTCAACTCTGGGACCAGAATGTTCTCACATGGTATCTCTGTCTGTTTGTGAGCTTGTCTTTTCTCCTCTGTTTGGGGGTTAGTCTTCTATTCCCTATCTTTTTCTTTTCTTTAGAGCTCTGCTCCTAGTTTGGACCTCACATAGTTTATAATCTTTCTGTGCTTTTGCTTTTCTTTAAGGCTTCTTTCACCAACTCTCTTCTTCTCCTCCTGGTATCTCAGTTTCTCACAACAAAGCTTCTGGATGGCAAAGACTGATTAATTCCATGCCAGGCACATCACTAGTCCTTATTGGGTGGGCTATCAGGTGCCCAGGTGCCCGCTGAGAACCTCTGCAGATCTCTCTGAGGGTAGCTGTGGCTATAGCAAGCATAAGACAGGCCCATTATAAACTCATGAAATATACATACAAGGTTTAGGGCTTACATTGGTTGCGCTTATTTTTTTGGTGGTTTTTTAGAGGTGTGTGGGGATGGGGGATAGAGATTATATTCAGTATACTAGAATGGAATTTTTGTGGTACTCAAGTAAGGTTGAGATGTCTCGCTTAGAGTGAATTGAGTGTTATTTGTGTAATGACTTTTATTTATTTATTTATTTTTTGTCGGTTGTGGGAGCTGAACTCTGGGCCTGGGTGCTTTACCTCAGCTCTTCAGCTCAAGTCTAGTGCTCTACCACTCGAGCCATAGCAACACTTCTGGCTTTTTCTGCTTATGTGGTGCTGAGGAATCAAACCCAGAGCCCCGTGCATTCGAGGCAAGCACTCTACCACTTAGCCACCTTCCTAGCCCTGTATAATGATTTTAAGGCCAAAACTTCTATGAGAAAAATAGGGAAGCACAGGGAAAGAGAGAGAGACAACTGCTAAGAATATAAAGAGCCACTGTGAGAGAAAAAAGATCTTACTATGTAAGTATGCAGGCCTGGAACTTACTCTGTTGCCTAGTCTGGTTTGGAACTCTGCATCTTTATGCTTCAGCCTTGTCAGTGTTGGGATTACAGGTGTGCACCACCATGCTTGGCTCATTATGATTTTAAAGCAGGAGGGGTGGGGAGTGGGTGGAGAAATGAATCAGATGTTTTTTAGATGACTATGAGATCCTGAGTAGAATTTGGCTCTAATAACTTTAATGACTTGCTGTTTTCCTGCCCAACCCACTTCCTCATAGGTAGAAGAAGAAATCCAGACTCTGTCTCAGGTATTGGCAGCAAAAGAGAAGCATCTAGCAGAGATCAAGCGAAAATTGGGAATCAATTCACTACAGGAACTGAAACAGAACATCGCCAAAGGGTGGCAGGATGTGACAGCAACATCTGCGTATGTGTCCTTGATCATACGTTTGTTTTTCTGAGCAATGGAAAAGACACTTTCAACCCTTGTCTCAGGAGAGGGAGAGAGAAAGGGGATAAGAATGTTTCCATGGTGTCTCTTTGATAACACAGAACTCTTTCTTTACAGTTCTTCCACTGTACCTGACTCTCTTCTAACTTCAGTTTTCCAGGGTATTCTAGGGGATAGAAAGAAAATTAGCCTCATTCAGATTCCACAAATGTTACATAGTAGTCCTTCCTTACTGGGGTTTTTCTACCTATGATTTAAATTTCTTCTAAGTTTCAACTAAGATCTGAGAATATTAAATGGAATATTCTACAAATAACTAATTCATAAGCTCTAAAATACATGATCTTCTGAGCATCATGGTTAAATTCCTTGCCTTCTTGCTTTTTACAGGGTGGTATCTGAAAACCCTTATCCATTATATCCATGCTGTATATGTTAATCATCCAGAGTCCCTTCTCAGCATGCTAAGAAAACATAAGATATATAGGGTTGAGTATGATCCAGCTTTAGGTATATACTGGTGGTCTTAGAACATATGCCCATAGATAAGAGGATTTCCAATTGTGTACATGTGTCACTCAGTCCTCAGAATAACCCAATAGATGGGTGATAAGATAACCCAAGAGTAGGCTCATATGTAAGTAAAGTTTTCGGGTCATAAACCTCTCAAAATATGGAATCTAGATCTGACCTCAGATCTGGCAACTAAGGAGCAGGTCGTCTTTGTATGTAAGATTCTTAGATCACAGTCTGTTGCATGGCAGAGGCGTGCTGGAAGACATCTTTCTGATTACACCAGATACAATGCAGTATTGTACAGTGCAGTTTTCTTTCCCAACACAAGGGGGCGAAAGCTTCTAGCAACAGATTTGAGCTGTTCCCTGTCTTTGGTGTTCCTGTCCAACTGGTGAGCTCAGTTGCTGACATTAGCAGAGAAGCCATCTACAGTCCACTTGTGACTGTGCTGTCTTTCAGTCATTTTTCCTCCCATAGTACCTGGTAGTGGGAAAACATGCAGGAAATTAACCTTTGCCTATATTAACTATAAACTAGATTCTAGGTATTTGATCTTGACTGGGTACACATAAATGCCAGGGCTTTTTTTTTTTGGTCGGTCGTGGGGCTTCAACTCTGGGCCTGGATGCTGTCCCTATGCTCTTCAGCTCAAGGCAAGCACTCTACTGCTTGAGCAACAGCGCCACTTCTGGTTTATTAGTGGTTTATTGGAGATAAGAGTCTCACAGACTTTCCTGTCTGGGCTGGCTTTGAACCATGATCCTCATATCTCAGCCTCCTGAGTAGCTAGGATTACAGGTGTGAGCCACTGGTGCCTGGCCAGGGCATTTATTTACACAGTGGCAATCTTAATCTTTTTAGTAGGTACCATGTTCTTTTTGTTGTTGTTTTAATTTTTATTTGTTTGCTTTTCTCTAACCTACAGGTAGCTAGAAAGAGGAAGAGGGTAATTTCCACTTTTGTGTTATAGCAGATATCACATTAGAATAATCTTTTACACATTTGACAGGTCAGCAAGTCATTATTTGGCAGCATAACAGGCAAATTTTATTTTGGTATACTTTGTTTCTTGTCCATAAAATTTATTTGGATAAGAAAATAAACACAAGCCTTAGCCATACTAATCTATTTTTTGCCTCTGGTGCCTTTATGTGTGATAACATTGTAAAACGAGGAGTCTGACTTCCTTTTCTGGTTCTTTGCCCTTCTTTATAGGCCTCTGCCTTTGCACGATGTCTAAAGCACTACCAAAGACTGTGCATGAAAAATGGTTCAGTCTTTGATTATATGATTGCTGCTACAGAAGGCTCTGAAGGACTTTAGACATTCTCTAGTCAGTTGTTATTTGGAGGAATTTTCCAGCAGGCAATGATCACTGCACTTGAAATGACCAATAGTAGAAAAACTCCTCGTAGTAAGATTGTTTTGAGAACTTCTAGTTTCTTGAAGATCAATCTGCTCTGTTATTTTATCAGCCATTTCTCTCATCATTGCTTTAGTGAGTCCTTTGGCCTTTCATCGTCTTCACTCCCACTGAAGTCCTCTGCTCTGTTACTACTGGTTTTTGAGGGTGGCATGTTATTTATTCATGTATTTTGTGATCTTTCACTGGGATTTACTCATATGGATTCAGGGTTTGTGGAGACTATTTGGTGTAGGTACAGAGATGGCTGTTATGGAGTGTGGTGATGTGAGAGCTTAGCTGTAAGTAGAAAAAATTAGGCTTCTGTGGTCAAAGTCGGTGCCTCCTCCTTCCTGGATTCCTCTTGAGGCGCTATTACTTATCTGCAAAGTGCCATTACTTTTAAGCGGCTTGTAGAGCCAGTGTGTAAAGGTCCTTTATTTACTCCATTTTAAGAATTTCTAAAATTCTTCAAAACCTCTGGGACAGTAGCATTCACATCTAAGACTAAATGATTGTCGTTTTGGGCAGAGTCTTCTGCAGTGCTTTGGACCTAATGGAAAGGCAGAGGCCTATGAAGGAAAGACCCACAAACTAGGCAAGGGTTTTCCTCTCTAGGCCTCAAGAAGAGTGAGGCAGATGAATGGAGAAAGAGAGTGGGCAAATAAAGTCATAATACTCAATATACCTATGCAGAAATAGGACCAGGTAACTTGAGGGCATGTACAGGGTAGGGAGAGATAAGGGACAATGATGGAAGGAGTGACATGGATCAAGATGTCTTGTGCTCATAAATTGATATGTTGAACTGAAACCCCTTTATACACCTACTTAAAGATAATTAAAAAAAATTTAGCTGAGTGCTGGAGGCTCACACCTGTAATTCTAACTACTCAGGAGGCTGAGATCTGAGGATCATGGTTCAAAACCAGTCCAGGCAGGAATGTTCGTGAGACTCTATCTCCAATTAACCACCAGAAAACCAGATGTGGCTCTGTGGCTCAAGTGGTAGAGCACTCACCTTGAGCTGAAGAGCTCAGGAACAGCACCCAGGCCCAGAGTTCAAGCCCCATGACCGACAAAAATAAATAAATAAAATAGAGAAAAGGCTGACTTTTCTTTTTCCTGTAGATATAAGAAGACATCTGAAACGCTATCACAGGCTGGACAGAGGGCATCAGCTGCCTTTTCATCTGTTGGTTCAGTCATCACCAAAAAGCTGGAAGACGTAAAGTATGTGTGCATTTCTCCTTGATCACTAAATAGCTGGGACAAGTTCAAATGTTAATGTGGTTGCCTGACTTCCTAGCTTCAGCTCAGGATGATCCTGGATCCTTTTCTGTTCAGGTGAAGAAGGTACCAGAATCTAAATTCTTCTAGTCGTAATGTTCTAACATTGAAATAGTCGTCTTATGAATCCATTAAAGGTTATTGAGAAATTCCGGTTACAAACTTTTTTGTCCTTTTAGTCCTTCTCAATCATTCAGGTAAGTGTGTTTCCGGTGGCTGAACATTTGTGATTGTGTTCAGAGCCCGGTGTCTTTCTAGAAAGATGAGTACAAGGGCAGGAAAGTGCATTTTGGGGCCGAGACCTGGTTTTCACTTATTTGTGTGACATTTTAATACCGTGATGTGATTACCACATGCTCATTTGTGTGCTGGCTTGTACTCACTCATAAGCTCCACTCATGCTTTGGTCCGAATCTTGATGTGGGGAGGGGTGCTTAGTGTTGTTTTTCTATTTTTTTAGATTAGTTTGCCACATATTCTTTGTTTATATCTATCTATCTATCTGTATACACATATATGATTTTTTGACTTTTCCTTTAAATTTCGAATTTTCTTTTCATAATATATAATCACTTCATAGTGCTTTTGTGTTTCCCTCAGCCCCCAAGGATTAGGACAGTGCTCAAAATGACAAATGTGGTTTCAATCAGCTGTACTTTCATTGGCATGCCCAATTTGTGTGTGTATTTTTTGTTTTCTTTTAAAGTTCACAGTGCATGAGTCTGTGGTTTTTATTTAAGGGAAACATGGGCTTTACAACCGGAATTTTTTTGGTTGAATAGATTTAACGAGTGTATGATACTTTGTACCCAAATCACTTCCTTATTTATTCTGGTTAGCGTGTCATCATGGTAAGCTTAGTGAGTGTGGCTTTCTTGAACCCTTTGCTGATGTTTTAAATAGATCTGTTAGAAATCTCTCACTTTTTCTGCTAGCTGGATGGTATAGTGCTTTAGGTCTCAGGTAAAACATGCAACTCTTAAAGTAGGTTATCCCGTTGTTTTCAACGGGTCAGAACTTTTCCTCGTTCTTCTTCTTTTTTTTAATGCTTACTTTGGCTTCTTACAGATTGCAAGCCTTTTCACATCCCTTTAGGTAAGGACAGCTGGAACCAGCGCCGTGGCCTGGCAGTTGTGTGAGACATGTGTGCCAAGATTAGGTGTCTCTGCTCCTGTGGATGCTGTGTCTGTCCACTGCCATCCCCTTCTTGCATTCAAAGTACCTTTTTTTCTCTAGTGCATTGCTAATTTCAAGGGAGGGTTTCTTGTATACCATGGCTAATGGATAAATTAAAAGAAGAATTTGACCCTCTGGTTCAAGGGATATGGAAATGATTTTTTTTAACTTTTAAAATTTCTTTTTTCTTTCTTTCTTTTTTTTTTTTAATCTTTGTAAAAAGAAGCAGCTTGACCATGGCATGCAGAATTCCTCCCTTTTAATGTCTTGACTTTGTTTGTTTGTTTTTGATGCTTTTGTTACTTTGGTGCTTTTGTAAGGATGTTGGAATTCTCCTTCACCTGGGTCCCATTATGCAGCGATAATAGACTGCATATGTGCTGCCTTGCCTTGTTAACTATTCCATCTTCTACGGTAATTCGCCTTTCTTGTTGTTGTGTGGTAAAGTAAACATAAGGAAATTTACCATTGTCATATACTTTTTAATACAGACTTTATTAGCTTATAGGTTTTTTATTTTAGTAGTTCTTCATACTAGTTATCTTTTCAAACTACACAGTCAAGGCAGTTTTATGGTTTGCAAAAGGAGAAAGTACATTGAAAAGGTGTCCCTGTAAGCCATGCTTTAAAGGGCTGTGAAAGATGTTGAACAAACCCCTCCTTTCTCCCAGTCAGTCTCTGCTGCCTAATTGGGTGTCAGAGGAAGCTGCAGGAAGATCTTTGAAGTGTAAAGCAGGCAGGACAATACCAGTGTCTCCATCTCTGTTCCTAGTTGGACAAATCTTCTCAAGTCATTGCTCACTGAGCTAGTTAGTGTTTTTCCTTCTTAAGTAGGAAAACAGGTTACTTACATCTCTGATCTTGCAACTCTAGCCCTGAAAATTATAGAGTACATCACAAGGATGTGTATATTCCAGATGTCACATTGCTTAAAGCCAGAGAAATTTTTTTTTTAAATCAAGCTGGACGCTGGTGGCTTACACTTTTGTAATCGTAGCTACTCAGAAGGCTGCAAGGTGAGGATCAAGGTTGGGAGTCAGCCCATGCAGAAAAGTTTGAGACTCTGATTGCCAATTAGCCATCAAAAAGCCAAACATGGAAGTGTAGCTCAAGTGGTAGAAGTGCTAGCCTTGAGTAAAAAAAAGTTCATGGACTGTGCCCAGACTCAAGCCCTGGGCACACGCACGCACGCACACACACACACACACACACTGTGCTAAACAACAATGGAATGCTCTTCCTCCTTTTGTCATGTGAGGTGTCAGTGTTTCTTTGAAGTTCAATTAACATAGCCTGAGTGCTATAGGCAATTGACTAAGCTTACTGTCACATGCATTCAGCTAGCAGGAGAGTGCCTGCTGCAGATGGGCCCTAAAGCAGATCTGTTCTACTCCTACCAGGAGGCTCTTCTCCCCAGGGATAGAGGTGGGAGGCTGCTGCCAGGAAGTACTTGGGTTAATCCTGTTAATTAATCCAAGTCTGCAAATTTAGTCCAGTGATTTCACTCTCTCATATCATTATGAGCATAGAAAAGCATGGAAGGAGAAGGTTTTAGACTCTTGGTTTTAGAAATAGTTTATGTTTTACCTAACCAGTAAATTAGCCCTTGAGATTGAGGTCCTAATTGTGATCTACCAGCTTTAGGGGTAGAGGAGTTGGAAACATAGAAAGAACAAGATGGATGGAGACAGACACTGGGAATGAGAATTTGGTTTTCCATAGGTGTGTGGGAGCAATGATTAGAATTAGCTGTGTGTTGACTCATTTTGTTGATAACTATCAGATAGATGTGATGTGTTAGTCCCATAGACAAGCCATTTGTCTATGTTTGGCCATTATTCACATTCTGTGTCCAGAATTTGATGATATCTGCCAAAATGAATGTTGTAGGAGAATATTTGGATCATAAAGAAAACCATGTTATGCTTGTCCAACTCAAAAGGGGAGTATGTTTCACAGATACAAGGTTATTTTGTGATCTAGGGAGAAAGGAAACTCAAACCAGGCTGACAGGAAACATGTTACAAACTGACATAGCTTCTAGAAGCCACTCCAAACAGAAAGTAAAGTTCTTTTCCACTCTGCCTTGTTCCCTACACCATCCTTTCTCCCTGTTTTTCCTACTTCTCTCTCTGCTTATTATTTTTATTCACAGGGAACTGATTTCCTCTTCCTCTTACACCTGTATTCTGCCAATGTTTGAGTGTATGTGACTTTTTAACTCAAGTATTTACCATTAGCTGGATCAGTAGTGTAGTGTCCTAATTACAATATGTGCTGAGAAAGAATCTTGACTCCTTCCCTTCATTCAGTCCAAACACAGGAGATTAGATGTGATGGATGGAGTCCCATTGATGCTCAAGTATCATGTGAGTTTCCAAGTGTCATATAAATGCTTTGTGGCAAAGAGGTTACTGCATTAAACAGGTACTGCTTTAAAAGGATCTGAAGATTGGAGCTCTGGTAGTGTAGAAAAGATCTTACTCATTAATCTGTCCTTCAAATATAGGGCCAATATACTTCAAAAGATGAAGCAGGAAAAGAACTAGCAAATTCCCCCCAGGGTAGTTGGCCACTACTGTAGGAAAGTGAGAAGTCTTGTTCTGTGATACATCAGTCATCAACTATAGAGATGTCCAAACACTATACTGGTTATTTTGATTTTATAAACTGCTAGAGTGCTTGTTTTGTCTTTGGTCAGTTGTTTGGCTTGAACTCATGGGGCTGGGTGCTACCACTGAGCTTCCTTGTGCTGAAGGCTACTGCTCTACCACTTGAGCCAGCATTACTTCTGTTTTTTTAGTGGTTAATTGGAGAGAAAAAGAGTCTCGGGAACTTTTTGCCTGGCTGGCTTCAAACAGTGATCCTTAGATCTCAGTCTCCTGAGTAGCTAGGATTATAGGCATGAGCCACCGGTGCCCTGCTCATACTGGACTGTTTATACATATCAAGATCATACATATCTTCTTAGCTATTAAAACAAAACAATGTGAGGAGCTTCATTTAAAACACTGTCATTTGTAATAACTGAGTCTTTGAGAACAAAAAGTCATAGAACAATATTTAGTCAACAATTAGTACCTTGAACTACCTACTTTGTCCAAATGAAAGATTATTTACCAAAAACATATAGTGCCAGTGAGTACAATATTTTGTGCATATTAGCAAAAATATATGGTGCACTTTAACAGAATGCAGGGATCTTACAGACCAAAAGATGAAGATCCTTTGAACTTCTGAGCTGGTTCCTCGGGGAGATGGCTGAGAGTGTATACTCTTGATCCTGAATGACAATAAGCTACATTGACCTGTAGTAGAAGGTGGATCTCCTAAGAGAGAAGGTCAAGTGTTATTGGAATAATCTTTGAAGAGCATTTAGTATAATTGGAGACAGTGTAAATTGTCTTATTTCTACAGAGTGGTATTGTTATTTCTACAGAGTGGTATGTAATATATAATCACACAAAGGTGTCAAATCAGTGATTTGTTTTGAATCCTACCAGCTCTGACCTGGGAACAAATGCTGAGAGAAAGAAGACCCCTGCCTTTCACTGGCTTTGCTTGTCCATGTATTCATGTTTGCGTGTGTGCTTTGTTTTTGAGGGGAGGTGGTGAACACTCAATCAGGGTTCTGAAGACCCAAGTTCCATTCTTGATTCTGCCTTGGTTTTGGGTAAACCTTTGAATTTCTGAGCCTTGATATAAGGCCTCACAGATCTAGAGAAAAGCACTTTAGTTTCAGCATGCTTTGAAAAAAATTCAAGCTTGCATTATTAGCTCTAATAAAAAGTGGGATTACATTCACCCACGAACCCAAATGAATTATGTTAGAATAACTTTGATCCCCTCCACCTCAAAAAGCAGAATTCTTTGTGGGGCTGAAAGAATAAAGCTCCTAGAGAGGAATCAAGTTTTGTTGGCTTTCTCTATGTCAAATTACCTCTATATACTAACTTCATTTCTGTCTCTTTTAATGCTGCCTCTTAGTATACGCTCCATTCAACATTCAATTAGCATGCCTGCTATGAGGTAAAGTATATTTTTTCCAGAATGGGATTGGTCTGATGCTTTCCTGTGCTTTATTTAAATGCTGAATCTCCCAGAAATTGTAGTACCTATATACAATGGAATATTATCTAGCCATTAGAAAGGACAAAATAATGACATTTGAAGAGAAATTGATGGAACTAGAGCTAACCATTTTAAGCAATGTAAGTCAAGAGCAGAGAGACAAATGGCACATGGTCTCCCTGATATGTGTATGCTAAAGCCAAAATGCAAGGAGATATGACAAAGTAGATAGGACTTGAGAAACAAAGGACCTCCACTCATTTTGTCATATAATTTCTAAATGACTTCATGTTCTTGACCACATATATTTGTATATATATGCGGAGGGAAGCTAGGAGGAGGACACAGAATCAACGGGAAACAGGAAAACATACAACAGAGGGGTCCATCAGCTGCAATGGACATAGATGAAAATGAACTAAGCAACTCAAAGGCAGAGATGGGAAGGGAGGAATGAGAGGGAAAGAGGGAACAGCTTACACTAAGCAAAAGGAAAGAAATGTAAATATCACCTGATGTGGAAGAAATAACTGTATTGTCAAACTCATAGAATTCACAAACTTTATAGTCCATGATAATGGCAATTTGCCTTGTGAAGGTTAAAATGTGTTTGTGACTTTAAGTAATCACTATTCTACAATACTGTGAAATATGTGAAATTTATGTCATCACTTAATCACAATTTCAAAAAACTACTGAATCCCAATTGTTGTGAAGTAGAGAACTTGAATTCTATCCTGAATAAGCTTCAGGCTTGACACTGTGTCAAGTTTCACCTCCTCTCTTTATAGTGTTGACATACATAGTGTTTGCATATGAGCAAGAGAATTGTTAGATATTTGTGAACTCTTAAAAGATTTTTTAAATTTCCACTTCTAAAAACCATATTTTGTTTCATATCTGATATTGGTTTAATTAGAAAGTGAATACTACTTTCTAATGAGCCATCGCTTTTCAGAGATATATATATATATATATATATATATATATATATATGGCCCACCTTCTTTTTCTTAATTGGCTTTAGATTATTCTTCCCTGGGCTGGTCTTAGATTGTCATCCTCTAAGCTATGGCCTACCACGTAACTGAGATTATAGGCAAGACCATCACGATCAAGTTATTTGTTGAGCTAGGGATCTCATCAATTATTATTTTTTCCCCTGGCTGACCTCAAACCTCAATCCTCCAATCTTTGCCTTCCCATTAAGTGAGATTATAAGCATGAGCTCCTACACTTGGCCCAATCTTCTCATTTTTGCTTCTCTCATCCAAGAGTGACATTTGGAACCAACTGTGGTTTAAGTCTGCCCAATTTAATGCTACTGTCCAGTTTCATCAGAGAGCACTTACAAGTAGTATATGTCATTACTTCACCTCATCTCTCCAGAGAAGCAGGAGTTCTTAACAGTATATGCCTTGCTTAGACTTTGGTGTATGTTGGCATTAACCGGAGGCCTGTTTAACCCTGTGCTGGGCCCATTCCACAAGCTGGGGTGCAAGTTGAGAATTCATCTTCTACTGCTGATGCAGTTGGTGTGGAAGCCACATTTGAGGAACATTGGCTTCCAGTATTCTGCCATTACCATGCTGGGGGGTGGGGGATGGGGCATGAGGTACCCCCTTGAGTGTGGAAGGAAGAAACTTGTTGTACCCTTTTGTGTCCTTTTGATCTCATCAGCAGATGGATATTCAAGGAGATGATATATCAAGGAGATCAGATTTGTATGAGAGGCAAAAACACTATTCCCTTCTGTCAATGATTTGGGCGAATTAATCTGAACCATCTTAGGATGTTTCCTGTGGGTTCTGAGGACTACTCACTTCCTATTTGGTCCTTCATCTATCTCATGTGCTGCCTCTTGGGAATTAGGAGCCCTGTAATAGAACCTCATGTGGTCCTGTCCTGATAGGATGTGCTTTCATGTGGGAAGCCTGCAAGATGAGAATTTAAATAGGAGTTCTAGAAATAGTACCTTAATTAGAATTAAACCAATCTAACAGTAGCACCTTGTACCATGAAAGGTTGGGGGAATGACAGAATTGATGTTCAGCTGATCTTGGATTCCCTTTCCTCAGACATGTACTTGACTCTGTCACTTATATGTAGATGTGGTTGTCTTCAGATTCAAAAGCAGACTTATAGAAATACTAACTTAGAAACTGATCACTTTACGTAATAAATATCTACATGTATGTTTGGGCACCGATCACACAGATAAATATATATGCTTTTCCTGACTAAGGATAATGGTTAAGAGGAATGTAGTTAACTACTGCTTTTTTGTTTTCCAGAATTGTTGATGTTGTTCAGTGTTTGTAACTTTATTATATATTTATTTCTCTCCATAGAAACTCTCCGACTTTCAAATCGTTTGAAGAAAAGGTTGAAAACTTAAAGGCAAGTAGAGAGATGAACTATCTTTGTGACATACTGCTTGCCACTTTTTCTTTGGGTCTATTCACATAAGGATTTTTTTAAATTAAAGGAGAGTAAGAATATTACTCCATTCATTTCAAATATTTTCCTAATTTGACAACATTTACTGTAACTATTATACACTATTAACAATATAGAAAGCACTATTTTTAAAATTTGGTGCTAGCACCTCAGCCTATCCTGTATGTACTATGCTATTATGCTTTTGAAGTAAAGAAAATCCCTGGCATCAGTAAAAGAAGTAAAGAAGTAAAGAAAATCCCTGGCATCAGTATACTTGATGGCTGGAGGAGGGGGGGGGGGGGGGGGAGATGATGGTTGTACATGGGTAAATTCATCAGGTGATAAGACTTGTAACTCAGGCCAAAGATAGTGGTTCAGAGGGGGAAAAAAGCCAGAGATTTCTGGAAGTTGGGCCAGAATAAAAGGGATTGGTTGTGGAACTAGATGGTGAGCAGACTTACAGACTATCCCATGTGTCCAGTTCTCATCAAGTAGGTAGGTGCTACAGCCATATAATGTCTTCAAAAAAGAATTGAAGAAGGGATGTGTTGAATTACATGGACTATAGCAATTTCTTATAATAAAGGAATGTGTCTTAATAAATGTGGGGAAACAATGGGGATGAGTTATGCAAATTTCTCAAAAGATTCTGATGGGTGATCACAAAGATTGTTAGAGCAAGTCAGTTAAGACTGAGCTCAGAGGAAAGGAGTCCCATCCTTGGTCACTGCCTGGTATGGAGTGATGTGATACGTAAGGCTTTGAAAAGCATGAAATATAATATAAATGAAAGGCTGATATATTTACTCAGATGTTTATTTGTGCTGGCACTGGGGCTTGAACTCAGGACCTTACACTTTCATATGGCTTTTTCAGTCACACTGGTGCTCTGCCTCTTGAGCCACACTTCCAGTTACAGTTTTTTGCTGGTTAATTGTAGATATGTCTGTCCAGTTTGTCTTCCCAGGCTAGATGCAAATCTTGACCCTCAATTATCAGCTTCCTGAGTAGCTAGAACTATAGGTGTGAACCACCAGTATCTGGCAAACAAATACATTGATAGAATTTCAGGCTTAGTAGATTGGGGGTAAATCTTCAGAAATTTCATGTATGTATGAATGTGCGGTTCTGTTGAGGTGTAGGTTTAAGTTCTATAGTTAGAATGAGGAGGTAGTGAATATCTTGAGTCTGCCTATCTGCCAAGTATCTGTGGCTCATACCTAGTAATCCTACTCAGGAGGCTAAGGTCTGAGGATCACAGTTTGAAGCCACCCTGGGCAGGAAGTTTGTGAGACTCTAATCTCCAGTTAACCACCTGAAAGCCAGAAGTGAAGCTGTAGCTGAAGTGGTAGAGCTACAGCCTTGAGTGAGAATGCAAAGGGACAGTGCCCAGGCTGAAAACAAAACAAAATAAAAAACATCAAAACTGGAGAAAGAAAACAAACCATCTATTTCTTTCATTCATTTTACTCAGTAGCACTTTTCTATTTTAAACTTTTACATAAGTTAGGTAAACTTTTATATAAGTCAGTCTTTTCGGACAAGATCATCCCTTCCCTCGCTCTCTCTGTTTTTCCCTCCTGTCCCCCCAAAAGTTGCATAGTTCCTTTTCAACTTAGTGTCTACTGAGCACTACTGCTGCATTTGTTCACTCTTTGTCTCCCATTTCTGCTCCTCCCGTTATCCACCCAAAGACAAACAATGCAAAAAGGGAGATCAACAACAACAACAACAAAAAAAACATCAAAACTGGGAGAAAGAAAAGAACCACATATTTCTTTGATTCATTTTGTGCAGTAGCATTTCTCTTTCTTCTTTTTCCTTTTTTGGTACCAGCAGGACCTTGGCAGTGTCCCTGAGCTCTTTTTGCTCAGGGCTAATACTCAACTTCTGTCTTTTTGGTGAACTTGTTTCCTTCCCTAGCTGGCTTCAAAATTCAATTTTCAGATCTCAGCCTCCTAAGTAGATAGGATTTCAAGTGTGACCCACCAGTGCCTGGCTTCAGTAGCATTTCTTGAATGATGTTTGATGCAATACAAAGTGTTTGTCCAAGTGTCACAGGAGTTGAATAGGTAATTTAGAGTAGTAGGCTTTACAGAGTTTTTGGGTTTTTTTTAACTACTCCATGAAGGACAATTGGCAAAAGGGTAGAATTTACCAATCTAAATATTTCAGCAAGGAAAGAGAATATACATTTTGTTATTAAACCATCAATCTTTGCTGTAGCAGTACTAAATTTCATACGTGTAGTGATACAATTAGGTTCCCAACTTATTTGCTCTTGAAAGTAAAATTAGAGTTCCTTTTTGTGGGGGGCAGAGTCAGCTAACTTTATTTCTTTTTTTGTTTTGTTTTGTTCTTTGAACTTTTTTTAAGTCTAAAGTAGGGGGAACCAAGCCTGCTGGTGGTGATTTTGGAGAAGTCTTGAATTCAACTGCTAGTGCCAGTGCCACTGCCACGGAGCCACCTTCAGAACCTACGCAGGAGAGCCCTTGAGATTCCTACCTTTGTTCTGCTCCCCACTGCCAGATGCTGCAGGCAAGATCCAAGCACATCCTGTCAACATGCATTGCCATGGATTTCTACCAGATGTGCTGTTATTTAGCTTTACATTATTTCTTTGACCAAATAATTTGTGGGTTAACCAAAATGAAAATACCTTCACTTCTGTTTCCAGATAATAACCCTGTCATATCCACTTAAGGCCCTTTATTTAGGAATCAGCATTACAAAGACTATATGTTGTATCTAGGGATGCTCCTGAATTGAGTAGCAGCTGCAGTGAACTTAGTTGCTTTCCTGCCTGACAAAGTGGATTCCAGTTTGATCATTGTCTTCTGTATGATTTTTTTCCTATTTGAATCTGTATATTTGATTCCTCACTAAAAATTGTTCTTTTAAATCTTCCCAGTCCTGAATAATAAAAGTTTCAGTGTTGTTTTCTTTAGCTTTAAAGGAAGAACTACAAAAATAAAAACACTTCTGAATAAACATTGTTTTCATATAAGGTACATATCTAGGTGTCTGACACCAAGCTAAAGCAAACAACTGTACATCCATTTTCTTAAAGTTCTGTAACAATATGTACAGTAGTAACTCAAACTACAAGGTGACTTCAGAGTGGGAATTCCTGCCATATCCTTGTTACTTATCATTTGTGACAACCTGTTCAGCATATTAGCTATTATGCCACTTATATAATCTTTTTCTTTTTTTCAAGCTTAAAATTTTAATTTCAGAATAAATTGACAAAATAACATCCTAAATCAAGAAGATTATTTATTAGTAGGTTGAAATATGAGCTCACACATAATACTCATGTTTCAAAGCTTTGAAGGCTTTGTAGATCTGAGTAGCAAAAACCCATCACACCAAGAGAAACATTGCAGTCTCCATTTCATCCATTTAGCAATCCTTTCAGAAGCACACAAAGTGATATGAGTAATAGAACTTGAACATTTTTTATAGTGAGGTGTTGGTGGTAACTCCTAAGGTTGTAATGCATTAATAAAAATCAGGTCACATTCTCAAAATATCAGCATGTTTCCAATTGTGAATTAGTACTGTTGACATTGGCCCTATTTTGAAAATTGAGTGTTGGGGCTAATGAGTCAAAGCCTCTGGGTGAATCTACCTAAAGGCAAAGTATGCTATGCATTCTAATAAACTACTGACACCACCACCATTTCCTTACGTTGTAAATGTTTATGGCCTACAATGTTGTATCTGTTATTTATCAAGTTGTGATTATTTTATTATAGATTATGCCAAATGTTATTTGCCAAGCTTGGAGTGACCCAAAGCATTTTTTTTGAAAGCATGACTACATTTACTTGGGGATAAATCCTCCTGAAAACCAAATTTGAAAAGCACAGTGTTTTTCTAAAGTGACATGCTGCCTTTCTCTGTTGCTAGAGCTTTTGTTAGAACTTTGGATGCAATTGAAACTATGCTCTATTACATGTGAAAAGCTTAATAAATTCTGTATATCAGCAGTATAGGTCTCAACATTTATTATGAGACCAATGGTCTGGGAACCATTGTTGTATTAAAGAATCAGCTGGTGTCTATGCTTTAGAAAAAAGGTTTTTTTTTTTTTTTTGCCCGTCATCTATTTTAAATTTCTGCAGGGTCTCAGACTAACATATTTTAAAATAATTTATTCCTACAAGTTTTAAGGCCATAGTTGTGGTAGCATTGTTCCAGAGTAGATGTGTTGAATTTTGCAGTTATTCAGTGTAACTTAAGATTTTTTTTTTCTATCAGTCAGTCTTCAATTTTCTTTGTTGTTGTTTTTCCAGTATCTTCATTACATTAATCTACAGTGCCCTGTCCTGTGCTTGTTTTCAACAAGCAAAACAAAGTAAGATGGAAATTGCTTTAAATTATCTAGAAACTTCTTTACTGCCCACATAACAGTGATAGAAATGGTAGTGGGGAGTAGGATGGTATTGTAGGTGAATCTTGGCGATAGTTGGGAAAGAAGTTGAAAATCAATTTTCTAGATATCTTCCTATACTTAATATAAAAAATTTAATCTGTTGTAAAATATTTCCTAAGGGAAGTAATAAAAAGTGTGGATCAGTCTGGATCAATTTAGAAAAATAAACATGGATTTAGAAATATTACTTAAAATGATCTTTGTGACACATTCCATATAATGAATTCTCTGATAAGTAAGCAGTTGAAAATATAATTAGAATACTCGAAATAGACCTTTGGCTACATGATTGAGTTTTGTCTTTGACACTATAAGAAAACAACTGAAATCTCAGATACTTATAAAATCTCAGAAATTTAAGGACATAAGAAGTGTAATAGAAAAAAATAACCTTTTTACAAAAAAAGATTTTTTTAAAATCTTTATGGAGTATGTGGGTAATATAACAAGAGTTCTTAGGGTTAAGAGTCAAAGTAAACAATGGAAGAGGATTTATTAATTGGATTATCATCTTAGCAACTCAAAGTAATTACTGCACTACAGAAAATACACATTTCTTTTGAACTGTTTCTGGATATTAAGATACACACTGTATTTTTTTTGTATTGTGTTTAAAAACAATAAAAAAATTCTATAATTTGGGCATGGATTCTTTTGTATGTGTTGAGGAGAGGGGTAAGTCCACTGTGCAGCGTAAGGCCCAAACTCTTTAAGTCTTGGGTTTGCAGAGAAGAGTGAGCAGCTATATCGAATCAGTTTATCAGGCACAAATGAAAAGGCTACATGCTGAATACCAGAAGGTATTTATTTATTTTTATTTTTTTTTGGTCCGGTCGTGGGGCCTGAACTCTGGGCCTGGGCGCTGTCCCTCAGCTCTTCAGCTCAAGGCTAGCACTCTACCACTTGTGGTGCTGAGGAATCGAACCCAGGGCCTCTGGCATGCAAGGCATGTGCTCTACCACTGAGCCACCTTCCCAGCCCCTTAATGTAGATTTCTATCACAGAAAAAGTCACAGTTTTACAGTTTAAATACATTTCTAATTGGTTTTAATCTTTGACTTGAACACAATATGCTAAAAGTTTCCTTTGATTTGTAGGATAGATTCTCTGTTCTTATTTTCCAGTGTTACGACTTAGTATTCCTCCAACTCAACTCCTTTCATGCTTTTGTGGACCCCTAATTGTCTCCTACATGGTCTTTAATGATCTCCATTTCTGTGGCTCCAGCGGCACTGTTATTAACATAGCCTCTGTTGGTTCAAGACTTAAAAAAACGTTTTTTCCAGACTTAAACCTGTGGTTAAGATATTTCTATTTTTCCTTTTCTCTTTTAATAATGACAATCAAACAGGGCTTCAAGCATGATGGCAAATGCTCTTATCACTGAGCCACATCCCCGGCCCAAGAGGCTTGGAATTCTTTTCTTTTTTGGTCAGTCTTGGGGTGTGAACTCTGGGCCTGAGCACTGTCCCTGAGCTCTTCAGCTCAAGGCTAGCACTCTACCACTTGAGCCACAGTGCCACTTCTGGTTTTCTGGTGGTTTATTGGAGATGAGGCTCACGGACTTTCTTGCCTGGGCTGGCTTTGAACCATGATCCTCAGGTCTTAGCCTCCTGAGTAGCTACAGTAAAGCTTGGAATTTCTAATCACCTCTTAGCCACCACTAGCCACTTACTGAGCTTTCAGGAATGACTCTGGCATTTTACAATAGTTTTTCACTCAGGGATGTGGCAGCATCATAATTTGTAGATGAAACTATCTCCAGTTTAGACATGATTTATTTTCTGTTCACTTTCCTAGCCATCTGCCATTACTAATACATTTAGCAATATATATTAACATGATGTATGAATAACTTGTAAGAGGAGAAAAGGGGCCTAAATTTTTAATAAAGCAAGACAAAAAGTGCAGGTAGAGCCAGATGAGAATCCTTAAGATGCCTCAAGGATATGAGAACCTTGCCACTATATATTCCTTCTGGTGCATGTGTAGGCAGAAAAGCCTGGGGAGATCCCTCTTGTTGGCTTACTGCTTTGTTCTCTCATTTCATTTGATGCTTCCATTGCTATAACAAAGCAAGCAGAGAACCAAGGCATAACTTGAAGTTAACTGATAAAAACTCAAGTTTTTAAACTCTGGTGAGTTTTGCATTGTTTTCACAAAATGTGTTTAATGTGGCAGTGATTTTCAATCTTCAAATAAAACTCAAAGCCTCAACTATTGCCTGACATCTTATTCTGAGATTATATAGAGCCCATCATAAACATTAAAAAGGTACAAGACATTCCCAGAATGCCTCTGGACACAGTTCTTCAGAAGCTTGACACTTGGCTGAGGCAAGGCATAAGTATAATACATTGCTGAACTTTAGAGTCAGCACCTTAGTAACCTCACTTGTTCTATCCATACTGATGTAGTATTTGGTGCTGGTACTGAAGCCAGCACCTTGAGTATGATAGGCAAACACTGTACTATTAAGCTACATCCACCAGCTCCCATATGAAGTACTACTGTAAGTGTATAAAGCACTTAGTGAAATTTGGCACTGTGGCCTGGTTCTGCAAACGAGAAAGGAAACACATCAGCAACATGAAATTGGGGAATCTGAGATAAGGACTAGGGAGGGTTCTTAAAGGTCATTGTTGATACTCTACATTTTGCCAAGTTTTTTCCCTGAAAAATGGAAGTAGCAATAGCCATACAAAAATCATGCAACATTGTTTTAGGCCAAAGTCTATAAATGACCAAGGGAAATAGTTTAAATGACCACAGGGAAACTCACTTGGAGTAGAATTTTATCTATGGAAGTTGTAATTTTCTCATGGTGATAATAAATCTTATGTGATACATAGAATTATGCATTTTTCCTAGGTCAGTGTGCTTACTAGTGTTCTCTGTACATAGGTTGAGAGCATTGGATTTAAATAATTGTCAAAGGCATTTATAAAATGTGTGGTCCTCAAAATTCCATCCCTCAAGTTCTTTCAATGACATGGGAAATTGTGTCACCTGCTAACCTGTGGGTTAGCAGCAAACTGCTAAACAACGGGTGAACTGCTTAATCCATAAACACTTTAAGAAGTCTGGTGTTAGGTTTGGTTTTAAGGATGATGGGCAAACTAAGTACCCACATTGAGTTTAACATGTACATGGGGGCTGTCTGGTGGTGCTATATATGGGCACATTCCAAATATCCGCCCTTCTGTTTTTGGAGGTGCCAGGGTTTGAACTCAGGGCCTCAGGCTCCTGCCACATTATGAAATCTCTACGTCCTGAGATGGGATTGGAATTTTCGAGCAGTGAAAAAACGTGTCTCCAAGATTACTATGTTCGTAACGCAAGCGGACTGGCCACAGAAGTGGTCAAGGACAAACTGGGACCCTGGGTTTCACAACGGTCTATTAGGCCCTACTATGTGTCCTGTTATGGAGTCTACAAAGTTGGCAGGGCAGACATTCAAGATGCAAGTACAGTATATATCATGTTAGGAAAAGAGAAGCTGGACCTCGTGTGTGTGTGTGTATGCGCGCGCATCAAGCGGGAGTAATTCCAGTGATTGCTTGTATTCAAAGACCACCTGGTCTTTAGAACCAGCCAGTTTACCCCGACGTGGAGAACAGCACGTGTCGCATTGCCATGCACTCCTACGCACTGCGGTGGAGAATCCACTGACGATTGGTTTCACCCACTCGGTCTGAAATCTACAACACACCGCTCCCGCGCACAGGACAAGACACGCCCACCAACCAATCGAGTTCCAGTAGAGCGGGCGGGTCTCCAGTTGCCCCGCCCCTTGACCTGCGCGCTTGCGGAACGTAGGCCATAGGTCAGAGGCCGTGAAGGCGTCATGGCGGCGCTGTGTCGGGCTCGTGTCGTGGCTCCTGAGACCTACTTCCTACGAGTGTTTCTATCCTCCAGGTCCTTTCGAGGAGTAGGCACGGAGAGTAGCTCAGAGAGCGGGAGTTCCCATTCCTCAGAACGTGAGGCGCGCCCGCGCGGCTTCGCGGAGGCGCTAGAGCGGCACTCGGAGCTGCAGCGGAAGGCAGCAGCCTCCCAGCCGGTGAGAGCCAGTCGCCGGAGCCACGCCCACAACGCGATGGGCGGGGCGGGGCGGGGCGGTGTTGGGGGAGTGGAGCCACACCCAGGACGCGGTGCGGGTGGAGCTGTGCTCATGACGTCTGGGTTGGGCGGGGCTAGGCCCCTAGGAGGGATGCTCGGGACGGAGGTGGGACCTCCGGGCTGGCCGGGATCCTGGGAGCTGCCGGGGCAAGCTTGCCTCCGGGCTGGTCGTGCTGTTAGCGCTTGGCGGGTGCTTTCTCTGTATTCGTCGTGCGGCGTTTCTGGGTCGCCGCGGTGGCTGTCCACATGTCGTGGGGAGAGTGTTCTGGTGCCCAGTGTTGGCGACTGACGGGGTGCGGCTGCCCCCGAGGCTTGGCCAGGGTCGCTCCCGGAAAGTGGACGCGCCCGGAAGAGATGGCTCCGCCGGCCTCGGCCGACCATGGATGCGGCGTGGCGCTCGGAGCCGGCGCACCAGCCTCCCTGTAGACGTTTGTTAATTAGATGGATAGGCGAATGGTAGAATTACTTTTTGTTTGAGTTCTTTTTTCTGAACTTGGGTGAATAACTTACTCTGTCAGAAATTACCTGTGTCCTGTTTTCTGTGTGTATGTTTTTTAAATTACTATCTCTTCTTGGCCAACACTAATACAAAACATATTAGAGATAGAAGTAGACATACGGACAATTATTATTAATTATTAGATTCAGCAGACATGAAATTGGGTGATAAAGAACATTCTAAATTTCTGTATGTATCTCTTTGGGGAATAGCACCAAGTAGTTTACAGGCGTCTGGATTATAGGGTCATTTTAGTAGGTAATGTAAATTTTTTTTGTTTTGTTTTTCCTGAAATTCAAGGATTAGAAGAAACCCGGAGTATTTTAATCCTTTAATTGATTGTAGTACTGAGGACTGAACCCAAAGTCATGGGCTTTACCACTTGAGTAGTTGTGTGTTTTTGTTTTTTTTTGGTCGGTCGTGGACCTGAACTCTGGGCCTGAGCTCCTCAGCTCAACACTAGTGCTCCACAGTGCCACTTCCAGCTTTTTCTGCTTATGTGGTGCTGAGAAATCGAACTCAGGGCCTAATGCATGCAAGGCAAGCACTCTGCCACTGAGCCACCTTCCCAGCTCCCATTTGAGCAGTTTTTAAAAGATTAAAATACTCCAGGTCTCTGGACTCTAATCAAAGTGTGATTTAGGTTCTGGGATGTTGTCTTGCCTGATCCCTGTTGTTGGGGCTACTGACATTCATTAGCGCACTGTGCCCTTCTACCATCTTCAGTAGCAACACTAAATGAAATTATCTCTGGAGGCATGACTTAACTGGTAGAACTCAAGCCAAGCGAGTTCAAGACCCTGAGTTCAAACCTTAGTGTCAGCCAACAAAACCAGGTGAAGTTCTCATAACTTCCTTATGATTATCTCTGCTGCCTTACTTCCATTTGAGGTCCCTTATTGGGACCATCTAAATAATCCAGAATAATGCCCCTATTTTAAGGTCATTTGATCATCTTAAATTTATCTGAAACTTAATTCCCCAGTACTGAGGCAGATAACTAAGGATGTGGACCTGTTTGGAG